GACCTGTGAACATACATGTCATATGATGATAGTGTTATTTTTTAAAACAGTTATTGCATTTTAAAAAAGTAATAATCAGCATATACCCAGTGTGGCTTCTGAACACCTGCTAATTAGATTAATGGTAATACCTGCCCATGACATTTTGTTCTTGCTGGTCCATAAATGGCTATATATGTATTTCTTTTTTTTTTTTTTTGGCTTTTTTGGGTCATACCTGGGCATTGCACAGGGATTACTCCTGGCTCTGCACTCAGGAATCACTCCTGGCGGTGCTCGGGGGACCATATGGGATGCTGGGAATCGAACCAGGTTGGCTGCATGCAAGGCAAATGCCCTACCCACTGTGCTATCACTCCAGCCCATGAATGGCTATATTTTTAAAAACACAATTAACCAACATAGAATGAACACTAGTAAACTTACTACCCAGTTAAAGAAGTTTTGCAGAAAACCCCAACGAAGGTTGGACTGGTGTTCAGAGAGCAAACAAGAACAGGCATACAGCGATGGGCGACTTCCGGTCCTCCCTCCTCTTATGCAGTGCCAGGGTTTCCAGCCTCTTCTACTTTGCATTGAAGTTTGGAGCTAAAACCAAAAGTATGTTTCTCTGCATGTTATCATTTTGTATCATTCTGTGTATTATCATTAGTATTCGGGAACATTTTAAGTCTTTTTATTTAAATTTTTTTTAAAAATATTTTATTTTTTGGCTTTTGGGTCCCACCCAGAGATTCTGGGGGCTACCCTGGCTCTGTGCTCAGAAATTACTCATGGTGGTGCTCGGTGGCCCACAGCAGGTGCTAAGGATTGATCCCGGTCAGCCGCCTGCAAGGTCGTGCCTCATCCACTGAACTGTCGCTCCAGCCCAGCCAGGGAAGTTTTTCATATATTTCATATGCACTAACTAGTGGTATTTACAGGTTTGCTTCTCAGTCATCGGTTGGCTTCTTTCTCCACAGTGAAGGTATTCGCTGAAGAGGAACAGCTGGGACCCTTCCAGCACAGGCCCATGTGAGTTTCGGACATGGCTCCCGACCTCAGAAATTAATGATCTTATCGGGGAAAGTCTGTCTAGTCTGGACCGGCACTGCTGTGGCCAGTATGTGCAGAATACCGCCGGAACCTGCATCAGATGCGCAGAGACAAAGGCAAGGATGAAAGAACTCAGCGGGGAGAAGGACGGTTCCAGGGCGGCCGAGGGAATGGAGCAGGAATCTCCTGAGATTCATCCTGACAGGCTCGGAGAAGAGGACACAAGGGAGACACAGAGAACACAGAGGATACAGAGGAGAAACCAGGAGGCAGGATTCCCGGGGAGAACGGAACAGCAGGCACCCAGGGAACGGCAAGAAAATGCCAAGGGGCCTTCCGGAGAGAAGCAGGAGACCTCAGGCCACCAGAGACACTCGGGACCTCCCATGTCAACTGCCTCTGTCAGCACTAGCGAAGCCGCGGCCGGGAAGACCACTCTGTTGGGCGCCGGCAAAGTCTCGGTGCAAAGAATCATCCTCCGGAGGCTCTGCCTGGCTGGGCTCTGGCTGGCCCAGCACCGATGAGTCTTCCCATCACAACACCCCAGGGCGGCCAGAGTGCTTGGACCTGGAGACGACGGCCGGAGAAAGCCCAGCCCACACCCTGCTAAGCAGCTTGCTCTGGCCTGGTGGTTTCGACCTTTTCGCAGCACCCAGGGGTGGCAGACAGCGTGGTCTGGCTGCCACAGCTGGGATTAGACTCCAGAGCGCAGGGGTGTGAACGTCATCGCGCTCAAGGGCATGAAAAAATGGGGAATTTCTCAAAAAGGTCAACAAATGCCAAACGGTCCCACAATGGTACTCACAAGTATAATTCCTCCCCCCTCCCCCAAATTATAAACAAGTGCTCAAATGAGTTCATGCACGCACATAGCAACCCTCTTCACATCGCAAGGGTGGAAGACCCCAGATTTCCACCTGTGGACAGATGGATGGTTGAAGGTGCATATAGACTCAGTGGAATATTAATCAGCCAGCAAAAGAAATAATATGGTGATCCAGGCTGCCATGTGCCTCTGAACAATTCTGCTAGTGGAAGGCAGAGAGGCACGGCCGTGCATCTTAGGGCTGCAGTTGTGCAAAACATCTGGGACAGACAAATCCACAGACGGCCATTCCCAGAAGCTGCAGCTAAGGAGGCTGGAGAGAGAAATGTGTTATAGGACATTTGTCACCTGACGTCACGGAAATGGCTTGGCACTCCGAGGTGACTGCAGGAGTTCTGTGAACGCGTTTAATGCCACCCAACACTTTACCTTAAAAGTTGAGATTAATTTTGTTATGTGAATCAGATGACGATGTTACTTTAAAAAAACAAGTCAGGATTCCAAACTGGGCAGGGGTCCGACAGTGGGGGAGGGTCTTGCACAGGCTGGTGGTGAGGTCATCGTGATTGTACATCAAAACCACAAACTTCAACACTATTGTAAAAACCAACACTATTGTAAAAAACCAAAAACAATTTTTTTAAAAAGGAAAAGAAATAGCAGGAGCTGTAATTAAGTGAAAAACAAAAAAATACATGTATGTGTCACACTCCTTTAGAAAAAAAATTCCCTGTTTTCACTAAGCAATATATATCAAATGCTCAAGGCCACAGCACGAGCAGGAATGGATGCAGGCTTAGAACATTCCTTTAGTTATGCCACGTCTCCGGAGAAGCAACAAGAGAAGCAAGAGACTAATTAAGACGTGACAGATCGACCTTCGGGTGAAGAGTCTGGGCCCAGACCAGGAGCTCCAGCATAGAAAAGAGAATGAAAGGTACATATAAAAAATTCAAAATACAAGCCATCATTTCTAGGTGAATCACTGCCTGTAATGAATTCAAAATTTAAAAAAATGTCAAGGTTTTTAATCCAGATAAATGAACTAATTGTAAAAGTATCTTTCAACGGGAAAGGAAGAAATCATGGCCGAAAAGACTTTTAATTGGATTTACTCAGTATCATTATAATAGTCATGAGCTGAAGTTATAAATTTCAAGGTAAGTCCTGCCAGTTCAGAAACATGTATACACCGGTACCCTGGGTGACACTCTCAGACACTACACCTTCAGATCTCTGAATAAAAGTGAACGGGCAGAAAATTTGATTTCAACTGCAACTAGGCAACAGGCATGGGGAAAAAAAGATTTCCTCTAATTGGGAAGATCTGAACTGTAAAGTATAAAGCAGAACACGATCGTCCATCCCAACATCCTCTCACTGCAAATCCACATCCATGCAACAAGCTTGGTGCCCGAGAGGTCTGTCTGGCCCGCGGGGCATGCTCACATGCGTGTCCTCAGATGACACACGGGACGGACCCATCCTGAGCCGGGAACATCACTACTCCCTACAGCGGCCAGTCACCCTGTGGCGGGCACACGACACCCTCCTCAGGACTCTCTGTGGGGGCAGAAGCCCGACTCTCCCCAGCAGGATGCCCACACAGGACAGAGGATGCGCTGGCCAGTCTTTCCTTGCCCAGTCCTCTGGCACTATGGCTGGCAGGGGCGGCCCCCCGCCCTCCCCACTGCTGCCTCTCAGTGACGGGTAGACTGCAAGCTTCCCCGAGCTGGCCTGAGCCTGTCCTGGCCCGACATCACTGTGCTTGTCTGTCGTATTGTCACTGGGAGAACAGGACCCCTGGCTGTGTCAGCCACTCCCCCGCAACCGCCTGCCCACATCCACGTGCGAAGCCACACGGCATGGCTTTCCCAAGGGCTGGGAAACACGGAAGCAGCATCTAGGAAGCGATACACGGAACTGACACCAAGAAGCAAGATCTGGCAGAAATGACGAATCAAGACAATGACAAGGAGCAGAAGGCTTTCCTTGATGACACAGGTTAGCAAAGCGTCGAAACGTGCTCTCCAAGCCCTCTCACCTCATCCTGACAGTCATCAATCCGAGATGGTTTGTACAACACAGCAGGCTCTAAGCACAGTGCTCTCACACCAGGGAAGGGCCGGAGCCCAGCAACGCTCCTTGCAGAACGAGACTCAATAAATAACGCCGCACTTGCGGAAGGGCTGTCTTGGCTTATCCAGGCCCACAGAATACTGTCTGGGCAAAGCACCAAATTTTCTTTTAAAGCAAGAATCTGAAGAACAAATGTATGTCATACGAAAGATGAGGAATCATATTAACTCACCTTATCATTCTAGTTACAGATAAAATGAGTACAGCTCATACTTAAAAGTGACATTTAAGTGAGACGGATAGATGTGCAGACTCAGAGTCAAACCACTTGCCAACTTTTATCCCTAGGTGGCAAATTACTCCTGTGAGTGTCGCACCTTCGCTGCCGGTGTCCCCGCTGAGCGTCAGATCTGAAACCCAAGTCAGAGCACTACTGGCCGCGGGGAATAGACACCACAGATCAGGAGACGTCCGCGGCAGGGCCAGGGAACTGGCACAGCAGGACCAGGGGAGTCCCTGGCACCCCACATGGCCCCTGAGCCCTGCCAGGAGCGATCCTTGAGCAGACCCAGGAGTAAGTCCTGAGCACAGCCTGGAAAGCACCCCCCTTCCCTCTAAAAAAACCCCAAAACAAAAGGAAGGCTTCCAAAGCAAATAGTTCCGTGTATTGAACCCCAAAGGCTCTCACCTTAACCAAAACTTAGATCACAGACTTCAAAGTCAATGTAAAAGTATCAAACTTCTAGGGGAAAATCTTTATGACTTCAACTTAGGCAAAGAACTCCCGAATAGGCACCGAAAAGAACATCCATGCAAGAAAAATCAACTGGAGCTCATCCAAGTCAAACTGGAACGAAGCAAATGTTATAAGTAAAAAGACCCCTCAGCATCCTGGCGTAGAAAGAAATATTCCAGGTAAAATTCAGCCGTCCATGGCATCCAGATTTCAGAAATCTGTGAGGACAGACGAAAATTGGCTTTCCCCCTCTGACCTGCTTGTCAGCATGCTAGAACTTGGGTGACCTTTTTGGTTTAATTAAAGTTAAATATTAATACTTACCAGCAGCTTCAAGAACCAGCTGGAGTCTGGCTTTGGCCTGTTCTGCTGGTGGCTGAAAGATCAATCAGAAGAGACAGTTAGTCGCTTCAGACAGGAGCCGCGGGGCGGGGAAGAACTTGGCCACGGTGGACTCTCCCGCCCCAGTGCCCGCTCCAGCTGCCCCTCATGCTCTTCCTCACTGAGGGGATACCGAGTCGCGTCCCCCTCACGCTCTTCCCCTCTGAGGGGAGACTGAGCTGCATTCTTCCCGCTACTGAGGAAAATCCCCATTTGCGACCCAATGTGGTACCGCCCAGCAACCATATGAGGAAGAGTGACTTAGTGGTGACGTGGTGACCCCCTGGGCTAGGGTCACCCCCAGCTGACTGTGAAACCTCAGAGGCATGGGCCAAGTCGCTCCCGACCTGGCCGAGACACAGCCTCAGCTTGGCGTTCAGCACCTATCTGCTATCCCCTGCGGCCTCCCCCACCCCAAATTTTGTCCCAGTGCAGCCAGTAGGGGTGAGTCACTGCAGCCCCCTGCCCCCCCCCCCCCCCCCCCCCGGTCTTCAGGGCAATGTGGAATGGTGTCCTGACTGGCAAGGGCAGAATTCACACCAGGATGTTCGTGAAAAGGCTTCATAATACACTCAGAAAGGAATCAGCGGGTAACTAAAGACCACACACACACACACACACATAGACACACACACACACACTCACTCGAGAGCTTTCACCGATGGGATGGCCTAACTGGGTGAGCTCCGAGCTAAGTGTGGGGGAGCAGGCAGGTAGGCTGGGGGCAGGGCAGAGAGCTGGGGGTGCCCCCGACAACGGCCTGGCTTGTGAGTTTCCTGAGCACATCGCCATGGGCACCTGTTTCCATATGCATTCTCTGAGATTCTGTGGTCAAAATTCACAGGACACCCAAGGAGCACAAAGACCCAAGTACTCACTAGGATAAAGATTGTGGCAGCGGCGAGCAACTCACTGGACTCTAGTCTAAAAGTCAGAAGAACAGGGTGGACCACCGGGTCGGCTGCCCAGAACCCCACGCTCCCCACTGGAGACCCCAGAGCACCCCAAACAGTGACAAGTGTTGACAAACATACCCAACGCAATAATAATCACAGTTACAGTTATTCATGGCATAGCGTGTAGGACATGCAAGTTTAACAGCAATCAGGGGAAACATGGGCGGGACGGGATGGTCCCGGCTTGCAGCCCGGCTCAGTCCTGGGCTCAGTTCCAGGGGACATGGTTTCCCCAGCACACGGGGTGGGGCCCTGGTCACCACTGAGTGCAGGACACCCCAGGGTGCCGAGCCTGAGCACGCGACCTCAGGCCAGCTGGGACCCCGGTCTGGCTGGCCGAGAAGCGAGAAGGGCCTTGCGAGGCACTTGGGACGCTACCTCAGGCCTCCCGAATTCTGAAACACAGGGGGGCGGGGTTGGTTACAGATTCCACTGGACTTACTGGTTTAAAAGTGTGCTGGGAGTTTATGGGTTTTCATTGCAGACTTGCAGTAACCACGACTTAAAACCCTGTAGTAATTCCATAAAAGAACCCAGGCACGGTGTTGGGGAGAGAGGCAGAGTTAAGGCATCCGCCGTGTAAACACGGGGACCTTCCCTACTGTCTCCGCCCCACCCCTGTGCTGCCTTCCCACCCAAGACCCCGCTCTCCTGCTCCCCCTGCCAGGGCACTGAGTGTCCCCATCCCACAGGTGCGAGCTCACTGAGCCTGCCCCTCTCCCTCTGACAAAGCTAGTGTTCTCGAGCCATCCAGGCAATAACAAGTAGAACAGCAACGCTGGTGACATGCGGCAGACCCCGACACACTCAGTCTGGTCCCGTTTCGGTCGTGACCTCCAGGGACCCTTTTCCCAGTGTCCGTGACAGCCGTTCTGAATGTGAGCCCAGCCCTTTAGCAATACTCCGGAATCAAATGGGGACTGTTTGTTGCCTCCAAGGCCTCGGATCTTGCGGGACGCACTTTGCAAACTTCTTACCGAACAAAGTCCGCATAATAACAGTCCCGACAGGTGAGTACTCTTAATGCCATCCTTTAAATGAAGAATAAATTACCCAAAGCCACAAAGACGACGGAGTGGGAGGATTTGAATTTTAACAGGGATCACAAACTCCTCGCTCCCGACACAGGGCTGCTGACCTGCTTATTCTCACGGGGAAGGGCGGGGGAGAAACGCAGTCATTTTTATTGCCAGAAATGACGACACAAATTTAGAACTGAATTTCCCTTTGTCTCGTGAGTCCTTCCGTTAATGATCTTCATAATTATGAGTGCCATCAAAACAGCTCATTTTAATCGTGCCTTGGCACACAAACAGCTTTAAAAACGCCGACCATATTCATAGTCGAAGTACTGGGCTGTTTCTTTTAACGTGAATGCAATCTCGCCCTGACACAGACACATATCAACAGCTTATCATATTTCTGGCTACATTTCATTTTAACAGTTACTATAATTCTATCTCTTAGGATCAAGGTCTAAGCGAGAAATATTACAAGTAGCTCGAAACTAAATTTATCTTGCTTCTAGGACTTAATACCAAGTTGGTTTAAATAAGAACCAAAAAAAAAAAAAAGAAAGAAAGAAAAAGAATTAAACCAACATGCAGTTCAATCTCAGCCCAAATTCACCCTGGCGTGTTGTTACACATTTTCTCTTAATAGCTAGTTTCCTAATTCAAAACCAGACAGAGAGAAAGGTGACGTGCGGCACCACGTCGAGAGATAAAGCAGCCGGGCTGGGCCCTGCGGGACTCACCCCTGCCCGTCGGGTCCAGCATTCGCTCACAGACCCGCTCAGACGCTGCCACTCCACCCCACACTGCTTGCTCACAGGTGCTCTCAGGCCGGGCAGGGACGCAGGGCTGAGCGAGAGCAGCAGAGAGGCTTACGTAGGGACTCAGAACTGATCCAGCCTTCCTAGAAAGGGCCACTCGGGGCACCCAAGCCCATGGCCCCGAGGGCCGGAGGCGGTGACAGGTGGGCGACACTTTCCTCTGGGCCTGTGCACGGCCACGAGCTCCCCACGGCGCCCAGACGTGCCTGTCACTGTCTCTCACGGCCCTCAGCGTCCCAGGGAAGGGCCACGTGTCCCACCCACCTGTGCCCCTGCCCGAGGGCTGCTCACGCCAGTGGCCACACATGGCCACTGCCGGGATTCCCAAAGACACGCACACGCATTCTCCAGCCTCCTCCTGCTCCTCCCCTGGGCTGGCTGCAAGGAGGTGAAGGACCGGTAAGAGGAAAACTACAAAACACACTTCAAGAAACAAAAGAGGACACGAGGAAATGGCGACACACTCCCTGCTCAAGGATCGGGAGGGTCACCACTGCCAAAATGGCAATACTCCCCAGAGCAGTCTACAGATTCAATGCAGTCCCTACAAGGATGCCCAGGACAGTTTCCAAAGAAACAGACAAAACACTCCTGAAATTCATATGGAACAAGAGACCCCCATGAATAGCTAAAGCAATCTTTGGGGCAAAGAAGATGGAAGCATCACTTTGCCCAACTTCAAACTGTCCTATAAAGTGATAGTAATTAAAGCAGCATGGTACTGGGAGAAAGACAGACCCACAGAACAACAGGACAGAACTGAAGATCCCGACACACACCCTCAAATATACGATCGTTTAATCTTTGATGGGCTGGAGCAATAGCATAGTGGGTAGGGAGTTTGCCTTGCATGCGGCCGACCCGGCTGACCCCAGTTCGATTCTTCCGCCCCTCTCAGAGAGTCCGACAAGCTACTGAGAGTATCTCACCCACACGGCAAAGCCTGGCAAGCTACCCTTGACGTTGATATGCCTAACACAGTAATAAGTCTCACAGTGGAAACATTACCGGGCCCACTCAAGCAAATCGATGAACAACGGGAAGACAGTGCTACATAGTGCCACTACAGTGCTAATCTTTGATAAGGAGCAAGAAATGTGGGGCAAGGAAAGCCTCTTTAACCAGGGGTGCTGGTAAAACTGGACAGCTATGTGCAAAAAAAAAAAATGAACTCTCAGATCTCTATCTGACATCATGCACAAAAATCAGAGAGAAATGGATTAAAGGCCTCAACATCAGACCTGAATCCATAAGGTTCATGAAGGTAAAATGAGGCAAAAGCCCCCCGAGCCAGGGGGCACCTTTCCACAGAGCCTGGGGAGACAGCAGCGACTGTCTCCCCTCTGGCGGGACACACAAGCTCCCGTCTGTGCAGGGCCAGACACAGGAGAGCACCGGAGAAGGAGCAGGTCCAGCCCCGCTTATCAGCAACAACCGTAGAGAGGGAAGCCACTTTATGCCACATCAGGAAGTCCCAAGTTGTCCCAGGCAAGACACGGTCATTTTCACTAATTCTTCCGCACTTGGCAGCAGGGGTTTATGGGGAGAGTATACCAGGTGACGCTGCTGTTAACAGTTTTATTAAGTGAAAAGTCATTGTGAGGTTTTCCTAATTTTGTTGTTGCTGCCGCTTTGGGGTCATCCCCAGGGATGCTCAGGGGTTCCTCCTGGCTCTGCATTCAGGAATCCCTCCTGGAGGGACTCAGGAGACCAGATGGGACACCGGGGATCAAACCCGGGTCGGCACGTGCAAGGCCAACGCCCTCCCCACTGTCCTATTGCTCTGGTCCTTTGTCCTAGAGTGAGTTGCGGGCGGCCGCCTAGGTCTGTTGTTACCTGTCCCAGCTGTTCCAGAACCTCCTCAATTATCTTCTCAAGCACCTACTTTCGCTATTACCGCTTCAAATAAAAGCTCATCTTTCAATGCACGAAAATTAATATTTGAGAATGATCTAAGAGACTTTATTTTAAACAGTCACAGAAGCGTCTTTCGGATCCTCTTAGGAGTCGGCTCCGAGCAACGTTTTCTATCTCTGAAGCCCCGTGCAAGCGGGGGTGCCCCTGCGGCAGCTGCGTCTGTCCCCGCAACAGCCACTGTCCCTGCCGCCTCTGGGGACTGCCAGTCTCTCCCTGCCCCTCTGTGCCACTCCCGACTGCCGGGTCAGGCTCTCTGCACGTGGCCATCGAGGAGTGGCCCGTGGCCCC